CTACTTTGCTACATATATGACAGGCCAGAAGTGCCAGAAACTACTGTCCCCCTGACAATTGACAGGAGTCGGTATATAGATACTCCAATTCCCTCATCCTGGACAAGATAGCTGAGGCTGGTGGTATGCTGGCTCCCAGTTTTTCAAAGGGATTCAGTGCTAGATGCCTTAGTGGTAACTTGCCTGATATCAAGTCTTTTATCAACTAGCTTCCCTTCTTATTTGTAAAACAGGAAAAATAATATCTGCTTTGCGTCCCTCTAAAGGTTTTTGTGTGAACAGAAAGAGACACTGCAAATGCTTTGTAAATGGTAAACTACAGAATCAATTAAGGTGGTATTATGAGATCCATAGACTATTAGGGCTGTTGGGTACCTGGAGGTCATCTTGTTACCCCAGAAAGAGAAAGAGGAAGACTCCAAGGGCTCCTAATAAATTGAAGCAGACCAGAAGCATTCATTTGGTGTCCTAATTCTAGATCTGGTGGTTTGGCTTTATCATGATGTTTATTACTAGGTCCTCTCTTAGATGATTTCTAAGCCTCCTGGGGCCTCTATTTATTCATGTGAAACATACAAGAATGACCTGGCAGCCACACTCTCACTATGTAGAGTACTTTGGGAGAGTCTTCAAACTCAGGGAGCTTAGCCCCTCTCATTAGAGATGAGGCTCATGCATAAATTCAGTTGTAAATTGCAGGCACAATGCCACTGATTTATTTGACAAAGATTTGTAATGTACTTACTACCTTCTGAGCACTATTGTAAGTTCTTTACAAATATCTGCTCATTCAATCCTTATAACCACTCTATCAAGTAAGTACTATTATCATTCTCACTTTAGAGATGAGGAAACTGAGGCATAGAGAGGTTAAATGACTTCTCCAAGACCACAGAACATAACAATGAACCCAGAAAGTCTGACTCCATGCTCAAAAAAACTATGCTATGCTGGAGCACCTGGGCGGTTCAGTTGGTTAAGCATCCAACTCTTGGTTTTGGCTCAGGGCATAACCTCATGGTTTGTGAGTTCAAGCCCTGTGTCAGGCTCTGTGCTAACAGTGCGGAGCCTGCTTGGGATTCTCCCCACTTCTCTTCTGCCCCTCCCCTGCTCACTCTCTATCCCCTCTCTCTCAAAATAAATAAATAAACATTTAATAAAGAACACAAAAAACGATGTCAAAAATACTGCGCAATGCTGAGTTGCCTTCTTTTTTGCCTTTCCTTTTCTATTCTTTTTCTCCTTCCAAATCCCCTCCCACATCTTTATCCCTGGGCCAGTCCCTAATGTTCAAATCATCACATCTCCCAATCAAAATGATTTCCATTTGCACAGACAGTTTAATGTAAATTGACTTAAATAGTCAAGAGAATATCAATTTCTCCTAACCAGTGAGCCCAGAGGAAGGATGGAATTCAAGCATGGTTTGACCCTAAGTTTGCCAGTCATCAATACAGAAGCCTCTGTATCTCTTTAATTCTTTCAGCTCTGCCCTTTCCTTGTGTGGTCTTCTTTCTCAGGTTGGCTTCCCTCAAGGAAGCAAAATTCTCTTCCATCCACACATTGTACTACCCAGAGGAAGAAAGGGAGCCTTTGACCCAGCACCCCACTCAGGAGTCAGATTTCCTCCACCTCTGAACCATTAGCTGAGACCAAGACTGGAATCCAGAAAGTGTCTGCTATCAAAGAGCCATATGCACCCCAGGGATAATTAGAAAGTGGGAGGGTAGGAAGGCTTCAAGACCCAGATGACGTGCCACCTCCTCCGTGAGATCTCCCTTTTGGTCTTGTCTTCCATCTTTGGAAGAACAGCTCCTCCCTCTGAACTCCCATGACTCCTGATCTGCATTGCTCTGACAGCATTCACCACTCCATATTCCTCATTTTGGATTTCTCCTGAATCATCTCCACTTGACTCTCCATTATTTTCCACTCTTTTCTGCTCCGCTCTGCACCCCAGCAGATGGACCATTTCTCTTTTTTAACCCACTTCCATCAGATTTTCTATTCTACACCACTCCACTAAAATAGCTCCTGTCAAGGCCATGATGCCCTCTGTCTTGCCAAATCCAGTGACCAGCTCTCGGTTCTCCTCTTGCTCACCCTCTTGGCAGCATGTGACATGGGGACCTCTCTCTCCTTCCAAAGCATTTGCTTCCACTTCCAGATACCACATGATTCTGTGTTGTCACATATTTCTCTGACTGTTCTTTTCTCATCTCTTTTGCTGGCAACGCCCCCATCCTACCCCACACCCACCCACCCCTGCTGTCTCCATGAGAGCTGTGGTTTTGACAGTGGCCACATTCCCCTTCCTACAGCCGCTGCTCCCATGTCATGGCACCTCACCCACTGCTACCACTCTCACCAGAATCTGGAAACACTGCTCCCTCCGCTTATCCCAGCAGGCCTGGAGGTGGTAAAGGCTTCCCATTATTGCTAGACACTGAATGCTTCCCCATCCCTTGCTGGGTCTCTTAATCTAGCCAACACCTCTGTAGACAGTCCCTTCAGTAACTCTCTTCTATAAGTCCTTGGAGGGTGCTGTTCCCTGGTAGGACTCTATCACTCTGCTTGTTTTCTTATGTCACGTATCTCTCGTATTAACTTACAAGGTCACTAAGAACAACGTCTGTGTTTAATTTTTCTTTTATCCCCAGTAGTGCTTACTATCCAATTGATACCAATAAATGCTGAAATAAAATATTCTTTCTTATTAACTACCTTCAACTTAAACAGGAAGTGAAAGCAATAAAAGCATTTAAACACACACACACCTCCCAGGACAGAAGGCAGAAGAATGAAATAATGCTAAACGCTGATTTCATGAGTTTTTGCCGGATTTCTCAAATTCACGATCTATTATAAAATCCATATGGAACATGCTTTTTCCTCTCCAGGCCCAGAAATGAAAGATAGTTACTTCTGTTACAATAATAATTGAAGTACAGGGCCACATGGGTGGCTCAGTCAGTTAAGTCCCTGGCTTTGGCTCTGGGCATGGGCTTATGGTTCATGAGTTTGAGCCCCACATTCGGCTCTGAGATGAGAGCTCAGAGCTTGGAAACTGCTTCGGATTCTGTGTCTCCCTGCCCATCCCTCACTCACACATACTTGTTCTCAAAAATGAATAAACATTGAAAGAAAATTTTTAAAAGAGAAATTGAAATACAAATAAACTGAGAAGCAAGGAAGCCCCATTGCTGATCAAAAGGAGGATCTAAGAAACACTGGGTACCAGGATTTACATCACACCCTATGCATGAGATAGGCTTTGGGGAAGAAGCTTCTATGTGGGGTGCCCACTTTTGGGGATCTCCTTCCTACTTTGCTTGTCTCTCTCTCTCTTCCCATTATGAACTACATTACCACCCTTTACCTATCAGCCCTGATCCCATTGCTCCAATGCCAAGCAGGTAGGAAGAATAAGGATTTGGGACAATAAGGGGAAAGGGAAGGAAGAAAAAAGAAGCCCCCATCATCCCTCCTCTGGCCCTAATGGCGGTCTTGTTAGCTATTTCCCTAGCCCACAATCTTTGGGCCATTCTCTATTACCTATTATATATTCTCTCGTCCCCAGAAACTGGACCTAAATATTCTTTTGAAATAAAAAAGATTCTGACTTCAGCCTTCTATGGATCCCAGGGTCCTCCTTTGGCATCTGGGTCTGCTTTTGCTTTTACAAATGAATCCAAGTATAAAAATAGACACTGTTGTGTATATATGTTGGGAGAGGTCAGTAGAGATGATTACCTTTATTCTATTTCTCATATTTCAAAAATATTTAGAGAGTTTCCAAAAGGATAAACTGGGTGTCCACATGGATGACCAAGCACCCTTGCCTCTCACTCAGTTCCTTGACTTCCTCATCACCAATGACCTTTATTCTACACTATCACAAAGCCACCTGCTCCCTGCAACTGTTCTGTGTTTAAGATCATCAGTCAATCATTCTGTCTCTGAGCCACACCTCCTATCTTTCCAGCCAGCTGGTTCCATCTTTCTTCAATCTCATCAGTACTTCCTCCCTAGGAGTCTCCTTCTAGTCTCTTTTTCCTCCTTATGCCCCTCTGATTCCATGGTTCATCATTTGGGTCAGTCTTTCAGAAATATCTTAACTTCCCTTGATCCTATCTTCCTGGCCAAAGGAAAAAAAAAAAAAAAAAACAACCCCATTAACTTGAAACAAACCTCACTCCCCAACTCCCGCATTCTTCTCCGGAACAGCCAAATGCCACTAGAGAAAACCATACATCAGTCAGACAGGTATCTTGGTAAATTCAAGATCAAGCTCACCAATCTCAAAAGGATCTCAACACTCCCAGCATCAATAAATACTTATAGAGTGGGGAAATATCTATGGAAGTTACTCTGGGAATTCTGAAATGAATGAACTGCATGCAAGTAGAGAAACAAACAAAGAGACAAAGCTAATAGATGAGGGCAGAAGAGAACAAAATGGGAAGAGTAATTTGGAAGCAAAAGGAAGAGAGGATTTCAACAAGGCTTGACTGCTATTCCTTCTTGTGAGCAAAACTCTTATTTTTAAGGATTCTTGAGTGGCTGTACAAGAGAGCCTAGCTAGAGCCTCCCTATTGATGACAACACTGTTATGGATGAAGAAGCAAATGGTCCTGGAGATTGCTGGTGTGTGCAGCTGTGTTGGAGAAGGCAGGCTTTTGTTTCCTCGTCTGGCACAAAGGAATCCTTTCTACCTTCCCCAGGAGGCCATTGGGAGGAAACGGATGGTGTGGGTGGTGCGAAGCAGAAGAATTATTTCAATAGTAATGACTGCAGGAGGTCAAGGCAAGGCTGAGGCTGTTCTCTATAAGAATCATTGTGACTAAAGGCAACGGCTAGTGGGAATTTTTTTTCTTTGTTTGCTTTTATTTTTTGATGCTAGACAGCTGGAATGCGAAGGGCTGGTCTGTGCCAAGCCACAAAATGTCTGAAAGCCCAGGACTTCCCCTAGGACAATAGCTTCCATTTTAGCTTAGGGCAAGAGTAAAATCTGTCATAAGATAGTAGTTTAGGAACTTCCTGTTGGTTCACATTTAAAGCAGCTTGTATTTAATTTTCATCTTGCCACTAAGAACCCAGAGTGAAGGTCAGGAGACCCAGAGACAGGGCACTTTGTTGAGAACTGAACCAGCGACCGGCTGGCTGCCTGTAAGTACTGCTTGGTTTGAACGTCTTAGGTTCTCAGGAGTTCTGGTAATCTGAAATGTTAATTGAGAAAAACTGCTTTTATGGGCTCTTGGTTCATAATTTTCTTGGATTGTATAGTCGGAAGGACATAGGACCTCTTGGCAACCTCCTCATCAAATCCCAAATGATATGAACATGAACAGGTTATGGACAAGGATAGTGGGTGTAGATTCTCTGGAATGGGATCAAAGAGATAAATCTGAAAGGCTTTTTTGTTTGGGGGCAATGACAGGAAATGCAAGCAGAACTATAAAATAAATATTCTTTTATTTGTTTTATTTTTTATTTGTTTTATTATTTAATTTTATTTTACTTGTAAGAGAGAGAGCACGCACAAGCAGGGGAAGGGGCGAGAGAGAGAGAGAGAGAGAGAGAGAGAGAGAGAGAGAAGGTATCTCAAGCAGGCTCCATGCCCAACACGGAGCTTGATCTCACAACCCTGGGATCATGGTTTGAGCCAAAATTAAGAGTTGGATGCTCAGCCAACTGAACCACCCAGGCACCCCAATTCTTCTTTCTTAAATAGAAGGAGAAGCAAAGTCATTCAGACAGCAACTCTCAAGTTAGAGTTCTGGGTCTGTTCCTTTTTAATTATGAGCTCAAAGGCAAATTGCTTAGTCTCTTCTGATAACACTTTGCCCATATGTAAAATGGGTATTATAACCATTGTAAAAGGAGTGTAAGTTTTATAGTATTATATGTAAAAGTATATATGAAATCTATATGTTTCATATCTAGAAACATGTATGAAAGTGAATGAGATTTCATATATAATGTATAATTTTATTTCTATAACAGAAGCTTAGGCTTATTTTGCTTATATAAGCAAAATTTATATAATAAGTTTTATATATAATGGATTTCACATATGTATACATATACTAGATTTCATATATGCTATGAAATACATATATATGTAATTCAATATTTATATACATACACACTTGAATCTTGAACAACATGGGGGTTAGAGGTGATAACCCTCCCATGCAGTTAAAAATCCATTTATAACTTTTGACTCCCTCAAAAACTTAAGCACAAATAGCCTATTGTTAACCAGAAGCCTTATTGATAACATAGTCAGTTAACACAGGTTTTGCATGTTATATTTATCATATATAATATACAAAATATGTAGCAAGGGCCCTTTGCCTCCCCTCATTTTACTGGCACTGCCCAGTACTGCCCTGCTCAATGCTTTCCTCATTATTGAGAGTCTTACTAATTCAAGGTAAGAATTGATCACCAATGCATCCCTAATTTCAAAGACCTCACGTGCCCTGAGACCCTTTACCCTGTAGGACCCGCTTCTCGAAAGGGCCCCACGTTGCTCAAAGGATCGCCAGCAGAGCTGCCCAGGAGAGGGCTCCACCTCTCAGAGTCAGTTTCACACGTGAGCCCCAGTCCTCAGAGTGAGGCACAGGCAGGCGCCTGCGGCAGGTGAAGAACAGAGCCTCTGCTCTGCAGTTTTCCTCCGGAGAAAGCAAGTTCCTAGCATGGAGAAGCGCTTGTCTTATGCTTCCTCTTGGCTAGAAACGCTTTCTCAGGTGCATTGGATCCACAGCACCCTGCCCTCTTCCCTGTTCTCGTCTCTCCTCCTTGGTGCTGCCCCGCCCTCAGGGACATTGTTGTGAGAGTCACTTAGGGAGCAGGAGCAGAGAAAGCCCAGGCAGTGTGTCCCTTCAGTCGCTCTAGCAACACAGCCACGGAACTGTCCACTTGGTGAGCACAAGCTGCTTGGATCTGTCCTTGTAATTTAGGCTCCTATCAGCCTTGGGAGCAGAACGGGAAGTGGGAGCTGCCCATCTCAGCAGCATTCCTGGGCACCATCCTGATGCTGGAGGTTTGAGTGGTTAATCAGTGACACACACTGTTGCCTGAGGACTAACTGACATTTACCTCTTCCTTTTGACAGACACGAACTAGGAGCCATAATGGAACCCAAGCCTCAGAAGAGTCCAGGTACCCAAGGGATATATTCTCCTAAGGAAAAAAGTTTATTGAAAATGATGAACAATTCTCATCAAGCTAAACCAGGGTACAGAAGATAGTTTTAGTGAGGATAACGGGTGGCATTCTGGGACAATGATTCATGGTATGGAGACTGTAGCAGAGGCTGTTGTGTCGGTTAATTATTTTGTGAGAGCTCACCTATCTAGAAATTTGACATTTTCTGACTTTCATTAACCAAGTGTTAAATCTGTTGCTTGGAGATGGTGCCGAAGCAAACTATAGCCCACAAAAGACTGAAGAATATTTCACAATTTAATAGGAAATTCTCACTTGGAGAAACTGCCTGAATTGTTTATTATAGGGGTAGATGGAGGTGTATTATTCAGAGGTCCTTGTTTACATAGGTTTACATAGCTCATTGCAGGTGGATAGTTAGAAAAGCTGAGGTTAGGATGAAATAATTTAGAAGTCAAATTATCAAAGCACCTATTATTAGTAAGTCACTGTCCTTCATATTGTAGAGGATAGAGAGTAAGTAATAGAGTCATTGCTCTCAACGGGTTTATAAATTTTGTTGGGAAGTCAAGATAAACACATGTGGGTTACTGTATTGAGAAGCTAAGTACAAACAATCGGGATATGATAAGCATCATGAAAGTAAGTGTGAAACGTTATGGGAATCTGAAAAAGAAAGGGCATACAAGTAGTTGTGGGAATCTGGAGAGGTTTTATCAGAAGGCATGTAAGTTGGACCCTAAAAGATGTATAGGGTTTTAAGAGAGATTGGCGAAGAGCACATCTCAGCAGAGAGGGATGGCATAGCAAAGTAATGACTGGGTTAGAGGCAGGATGCATCAGAGGACAATGTGGCTATAAAGTAGGACATTGAAGAGCAGAGGATGAGGCTGTGGAAATACGGCACTATATTGTACTAGAACTTGACCTCATATGACCAGCAGTCCTTGAACAAGAAAATGGCATCATTAGATTTGCATTTTAGACTGGTCCTATTTTTTGAAATAGATATATTTTTTAACATTTATAATTTATTTTGAGAGAGAGAGAGGAGGATGGAGAGGGACAAAGGGAGAGGGAGAGAGACAATCCCAAGCAGGCTTCATGCTGTCAGTACAGAGCCCGACATGGGGCTCTCAACCTCATGAACCATGAAATCATGACCTAAGCCAAAATCAAGAGTCAGGATCTCCCGGGTGGCTCAGTCCGTTAAGTGTCCAACTTCGGCTCAGGTCATGATCTCGCGGTCTGTGGCTTCGAGCCCCGCATTGGGCTCTGTGCTGACAGCTCAGAGCCTGGAGCCTGTTTCAGATTCTGTGTCTCCATCTCTCTGTCCCTCACCAGCTCGTGCTCTGTCTCTGTCTCAAAAATAAATAAACGTTAAAAAATTTTTTTAAAAAATCAAGAGTCAGATGCTTAATTGACAGAGCCATTCAGGCACCCCTGAAATAGCTATTAAAGTAAAAGTGACATACAATAAACTACGCATATTTAAAATGTATAATGTGATAAGTTTTGATATGTGTATATGCCTGGGAAGCTATTACCACAATCAAGGTAACAAACATATGCATCACTCCCAAATGTTTTCTGTTATTGATTTTCAATTTGATTCCCTTATGCTCTGAAAATCTACTTTGTAAACCTTGGAAACTTTCAGATTTATTGAGACCGGTTTTAGGACCCAGAACATGATCTGTCTTGGGAAATGCTGCACATGCCCTTGAGAAAGGTGTTCATTGTGCTGTTGTTGAGAGTTCTGTAAATATCAATCAGGCCGAGCTTGTTATGGATAGTGTTGTTCAAGTCCACTGAACCTTTATGTTTTTCTGCCTATTTTTTCTATCAGTTGTGGAGAGAGAGGTACTGAAAACTCTCACTATAGTTGTGGATTGGTCTATTTCTGTGTAATTCTAGCAGTTTTTGCCTCAAGTTTGTTAAAAGTCTGTTATTAGGTACATAAATGTGTAGGATTATTATGTCCTTTTGGTTAATTGGTCCCTGTATCATTATGAAAAGACTTTTATCCCTGGTAACATTTTGCTATGAAATCTGATCTTACTATAGCCAGTCCAACTTTGCTTTGACTGCTGTTGGCATGGTATATCCTTTTCCTGACTTCTTACTTATATCCTATTTGTGTCTTTGTATTTATTTTTTTAACGTTTATTTATTTATTTTAAGAGAGAGAGGGAGAGGGTGTATGAGCAGGTGAGAGACAGAAAGAGAGGGAGAGAGAAAATCCCAAGCAGTCTCTGCACTGTCAGTGCACAGCCCAGACATGGGGCTCTAACCCACTCCCATGAAGCATGAGATCATGACCTGAGCCAAAATTAAGATTCGGATGTTTAACCGACTGAGCCACTGAGGCACCCTATGTGTATTTATATTTAAAATGTGTTTTTTGTGAGTACCATGCAGTTGAGTCTTGATTTTTTTATCCAATATGACAGCTTCCTCCTTTTAATTGATTTTTTTAGACCATTTACACTTAATGTGAATATTGATGTGATCAGGTTTGAGTCTGTCATAGCGTTGTTTTCTATTTGTCTCATTTTTTTCTTTGTTCACCTTTTCCCTATTTTTCATCATTTTTTGAATTGAGTATTTTTATGATACTATTTATCGCTTTTCTTGGCTTATTAATTGTAACTGTTTTGTTATTTTAGTGGTCACACTAGGGCATATAGTATATATTTTTAACATATCACAGTCTATCTTATTATAAGTGATATTATAACAATTCACATATAAGAATTTTATAAAAGTATACTTCTATTTTCCTCTCCTGGACTTCATGTCTTTTACTTAATGAAATGGCATTTTACTTATACATATGTTATAATCTGCACAGTATAATGTTAGTTTTTTGTTTGAACATTCAGTTGAATTTTTAAATATTTTAAGTAATGCAAAAAAATAATATATGTACTTTGCAGTGACCATTCAGTGTTGTTCATTCATCCATATAAATTCAGATTTCCATCGAGTATCATTTTTTTCCACCCAAGGGACTTCCTCTAATGTTTCTTGTAGTGCAGGCCTCTTGTTGAGGAATCTCTTTAGATTTTGTATATCTGAAAAATGTCTTGAAATTGCCTTTATATTTTTTAATTTTTTAACATTTTATTTTATTTTTTGAGAGACAGAGAGAGACAGAGTACAAGTAGGGGATGGGCAGAGAGAGAAGGAGACACAGAGCCAAGACAGTCTCCAGGCTCTGAGCTGTCAGCACAGAGCCCAATATAGGGCTCGAACCCACAAATGTGAGATCATGACTTGAGCCAAAGTCAGACACTCAACTGACTGAGCCACCCAGGCACCCTGAAATTGCCTTTATTTTTGAAAGATATTTTTGATGCATATAAAATTCTAGAATGACAGGTTTTTCTTTCAGTACTTTAAATATTTTCTCCATTGTTTTTTTGCTCACATTATTTCTGATGAGCAATCTAATGCCTTTCATATGTTTTTTTCCTTCTGCAAATGTATTTTCCTTCCTTCTGGCTGACTTTAAGGTTATTTTCTTTATCATTAGTTTTGAGCAATTTGATTACATCATGCCTCACTATAGTTTTTTCATGTACCTTGTGTTTGGGGTTCCTGACCTGCTTGGATCACTGGGTTTAGAGTTTTCCTTAAATTTATACACTTTTCAGCATTATTTCTTTAAATAATTTTTCTGTATCCCTACCCACTTAGGGATTTCATTACTTGTAGAGTAGGCCACTTGAAATTGTCCCACAGTCAGGCACCTGGGTGGCTCAGTGGGTTAAGCATCCAACTCTTGATTTTGGCGCAGGTCATGATCTCACAGATGGTGGGATCGAGCCCCACATTAGGTTGTGTGTTGATACCATGGAGCCTGCTTGGGGTTCTCTCTCTCTTTCTTTCCCTCGTTCTCTGGCCCTCCCCCACTCACTCATGAGAGTGCACTCTCTCTCTCTCAAAATAAATAAACGTAAAAAGAAAAAAGAAATTGTCCCACAGTGCACTGCTCTTTTAATTTTTTTTGTTCTTTTTTCCCTCTGCATTTATGGTGATAGTTCCCATTACTTCGTCTTCATGTCCACTAATCAACTATTCCTCCGATTCAGGGTGTTTTATTTGTTTATTTCTGAGACATTGTAGTTTTCATATTTGGAAGTTTACTTTGGGTCTTTTTTATATCATCTGTATCTCTACCTAGCTCCTTGAATACATTAAATACAGGTATAATAACTGTTTTTACAACTTCCTCTAGTAATTTGAACATCAGTGTCAGTTCTAGGCCCATTTTAATAGATCATGTTCCTAATTATGGGTCATGTTTTCCTTCCTGTTTGCATGTTTGGTAGTCTTCCACTGGTTGCCAGACATTGACATTTTCCCCTTGTTGGGTGCTGCATATTTTTGTATTTCTGCATACCTTGAGCTTGGTTCTGGGATGCAGGTAAGTTTTTTTGGAAACAATTTGATCCTTTTAAGACTTGCTTTTAGGGCACCTGGGTGGTTCAGTCAGTTAAGCAATCTGACTCTTGATTTTGGCTCAGGTCATGATATGGTTCATGAGCTCGAGCCCCATGTCCAGCTCTGCTCTGCTCTGCTCAGATCCTGCTTGGGATTCTCTGTCTCTTTCTCTCTCTCTCTCTTTCTCTCTCTCTCTGCCCCTCCCCTTCTCGTGTATTCTCTCTCTCTCAAAAATAAATAAATAAACTTAAAAAAAAAAAAAAAGGCTAGCTTTTGTGATTTGTTGGGTGGATCTGGAGCAGTCCTCAGCCCAAAGATAATTATTCCTCACTACTGGGGTAGGACCTTTCTGAGTACCCTACCTAATGCCCCATAAATTATAAATGTTACCAGTCTGGCTGGAGGGAACAGGTATCTTTTCTGGTTTTGTATGAGCACTGGATGCTGTTTTCTCTAATATTTTCGAGTGGTTCTTTCTCTGGCCTTGGGTAGTTTCCTCACACACATATATTGCTTAATACTCTTGAATTCTTAAAAACGTAGGCGTGTCTCTGTAATTCTTTCTGTGTGCAGCTCTTTCCTCTTTGGCTAGTGAATGCTAGTGCCTTAATTTCCCTGAAGCCTTAGCTCTGTCTCCTCAACTCAGGAATTCACCTGATTCCACCTCAGTTCCCCTTTCCTTTGCTGTAGCTGGAAACTCTCTCAAGGGAATTGTAGCCTCCCCCCTTGTTTGTTTCCTGTCTCATAGGGATCAGTGACGTTATCACCCATGCCAAGTGTCCCGAAAACCGCTATTTTATTTATTTTGTCTGGGTAACCCAGTCTCTGTTATTCTGTCTTTGTCCAAAGTTCTGGGCCAGTCAGATTGGGTGTTCACACTCAGAGGTATGTCAAGGATGGGTTTGAAGATGTCAAGGCTGGGATTAGGATGTCAGACTGGACACTACTGCAACAGTACAGTGAGAAACATATGAAGGTCTTGATTGCATATGAATTTGAATACATTGAAACATATGAAGGTCTGGAAGGCAGCAGTGATGGGAAGAGAATGCTAGGGAGAGATCCCAGAGGTATTTGGGAAGGGAAAGTGGGCATGATTTAATCACTGACTGGCCATAAGACTGATGGAACGGTGACAGTTAAAGTGACTCAGAGTGTTCTAGTGTCCAGAGAGGCTGGACAGGTATCGGTATCACCACTTCATGAAAGGCTCCAGGGGATAGAGTGACGAGAGAAAGAAGTTTATGAAAAGTCCAAGTGAAGAGGTTTAGGGTCAGAAATTGCATACACTAGGGTGAAAATATTGAAAATTTGTCCTGTCAGTTTCTCACAGACTGGATGTGCTGATGACATCCCTGGCATGGTTGCTTAACATATTCCTGTTTTTTGTATTTCCTACAAACTGGGTCTAGAGGATTGGTGAGATTGTTCCACTGGTTTTTTGGCAAAGCTAACATGGGTGGTCTTGTCCATTGGTTTTAAAATCGAACGCACTATATTGGCCTACAGCCTCCCAGGCCCAACTGGACTTGGCTCGAGCGTTATCTTAGACCACTCTTAGAGTCCTCGCGGGCTCGTTATATCCCAGCCACTCAGGGCTCCTGTGCTTCCTGCTCCCCTTTCCTGTCCCTGGGCCTTTGACTATGCTACTTCTTCTGTCTACCCAGCTCTTTACACGCTTGGCTCATTCTCATCATCATAAAGGTTTCCCCGGACTCCTCTTCCTCAAGGGCCCTCTCCACCTGGCAGCTCTGTCTCATTACCCTGGTCATGTTCTCCAATGCACGTATCACAATCTGCACTCATCTTGCCTGTTTTCGTTTCTTGTGTATCACCCACCTTCCACGTGTGACAGGAAGTTCCATGAAGGCAGGGAATACAAGCAGAAGCCAGGTGGCCTGAAAAGACCTGATCATGAAGTTTCTCTCGTAGCTCATTTTTAAGCCCTGAATCCTGTTATAGAGAAAAACCCAAACACCCTTATTAACGATTAATGTCATCTTGGCCAAAATTTTTCTGTCGCCATACCCTCTGAATTTGCTTGAATGCAGCAAGGAGGCAGACATGTAATATCTCTGGACCTCATATACCTTAACCAGTAAATTGGCTGAATAGTGATGGCTTCATAAGCTCAGATTAAGATAACCAAATTGTCTACTGGGTTATTTTCTTCAGCTTAAGCTCTGGAGAAAACAGTGTCATGGCCATAGTCAATAAACACTGTCAGAGTTTTTGTGCCCCGGAGGTGGCAGTCAATGTGAATACCGGGGACACCCTGGAAGTGCCAAACTGGCCTAAGTCCTCATAGATATTTACTTTACTTTAAGATTCTGTGAATTGTATACAATGTGAATAGGGACTTCTAAGACCAAATTTTTATAAAGTATCATATCTGTTGAAGCTTTAAATTTTTTTTTGAACCTTTTAAATTTAATACGACCAAAGAGCACCTATATTAGAGGCAGATGAGAGACTGGTTTATTCTGCAAATAATAAAGGCTAAAGTTTCCTCTGTTGTTAATAATAGCTGCTCTTCAGTGAGCCCTACTCTGTGCTAGGCCCAGTACGGAGAGGTTTCCACACATTAACTCCTTCAGTCCTCACCACAAATCTGTGGTGCTATTGTCTTCCTTTTACAGATGAGGAAGCAGGGAAAATTATAGATTCCAGGTGCTCTCTAAATATTTGTTCAGTAAATAAATCTGTGATTTTTGTCCGTGGCCATGCAATTTTAAAAAGGAGCCAAAACTTTTTTGCAATATTGCTTCATTCTGTTTTTCTTTTCCTTTTCCGTGTGTGTGTGTGTGTAAAGGGATGAAGGGTGGGGAGCAGGCAGAGTTGCTGAGAACGAGGGGAAGGAGGAAAGGTGAGGACAGCTGCCTAGAAATTACTACATTCGTGTCGTAATTCTGGTGCGGCTGGAACAGCATGTGACTCTTGATCCTGGAGTCATGAGTCTGAGCCCCACGTTGGGTGTAGAGATTACTTAAATAAGTAAACTTTTTTATTTTAAGTTTATTTATTTTGAGAGAGACAGACACAGCTCAAGTGAGGGAGGGGCAGAGAGAGGGAGAGAGAGAATCCCAAGCAGACCCTGTGCTTGTCAGTGTAGAACCCACGAAGCCATGAGATCATGACTGGCGTCAAAAAGAGTCATACACTTTACTGCCTGAGCCACCCCAAGCTCCCCCTTAAATAAATAAACTTTTAAAAGAAAATGTTAAAAAAAAAAAGAATTACTAAATTCTAATGTTTTTTTGTTTTGTTTTGTTTTTTTATTTCTAGGAGAGAGAGAGACAGCGTGAGCAGGGGAGGGTCAGAGAGAGAGGGAGTCACAGACTCTGAAACAGGCTCCAGGCTCTGAGCTGGCAGTCAGCACAGAGCCCGACGCGGGGCTTGAACCCATGAACCGCGAGCTCATGACCTAAGCGAAAGTCGGACGCTTAACCGACTAAGCCACCCAGGCGCCCCAAGAATTACTAAATTCTAGCATACTGTCCCCATCTGTTGTGCTACCTAATCCTGATTCTGTTTTCACTTAACAGAAAAGCTCTAACTCTTTAGTAAAGGCTGTCTTTATAAAAACCATGGGCAAACCAGAACTACAGCCTGGACGTGAAAGCAAAAAAAAACTTTATTTTAACAACATGGTGCTTTTCTAGATAATAAAGGTAGTCTATTTCTCAAAGACATTTTGCAGAAAAAAATAAACCTCTAAATTTCAATCCTTACAGAGAAGCAGTTAACATTTTGGAAACCTTTTAAGGTAACCACTCTGCCACCTCATTTTCAAGAGCAGATGTTTTTGCTTCTGTTTACTAAGCCAAGGAGCAAGACAGAATTATCCTGCTTCTGTGGCTGGTGCTCTGATGGGAATAGCGACAAACCTTTGCTCACATCTTGAGAGCCAGCAACATGCCCCAGAAATGAGAGCCAGACGTTAAGGAGCTTCTAAATGTCATCTGAAGGAAGGTCCTGGCTATGGCCGAATAAGAAATAATGTCCTTGGACCTCTGGGCTCTTTGTTTTCCTGCCCTAGGATCGAAGTTCCTTTCCACACCTGAATAATTTGAAGACCTTTCCAAAGGGAAATAGTGTTTTCCAACCAAAGCGGTTCTTTCCTCAAATTTACAGGGAACAAACTGAGTCTGTTCACTTTCTTCTTTAGGCAAACAATTTACATTTTATTATGAAAATGAGGTCTGCAAACAAGATTACTTTATTAAATCACCACCTCCTCAGCTTTTCTTCTCGGCTGTAAGTATGCACCATGATCTAACGGGCCTCGCACTAGCTTCATGAGCGTTTTAAAAATCCTTTCTCTTCCTTGGAGATTTAACTAAGATGCAAAATGTTTTCATTTTTCAGTCTTCTTGGAAAAAGCGGTTTTTCATCCTGTCAAAGAGTGGGGGAAGGAGCCTTCATCTCTCCTATTACAAAGACCAACATCAGCGAGGTGCCATTGAAATTGACCGGTGTGCATCCAATCTGGAAAAACGTTTATAACAACAAATACTAACAAAGGGCATCCAAATTGAAATTTAAATCATAGACTGAAAGAAGCAAAGCCTTCATGCTTACAATATTGGTTGCTGAAAAGAAGAAGCTAAAATGAGAAACATTCTGAGTAAAACACAGCCAAATACTTATTTCACATTGTATATAACGGTTCATAAATTATTCATTAATAAGCATTTAGTTACAAAAGACTTTGATTTGCTTAATTCACGGATGAGGGAGTGCAGATAAATTCATCATTTCATGCCAAGATGGATTTTCTAAAAAGTATTGGGATTTGCTTTTTTTTTTTTTAATTTTCTCTTTAAGAAGTTATATACAAAAAGAAAATTAGGAAACATGATAGTTTGTAGAGCAAAGAATTCAATGGAAATAGGAATTTTTGAATTAAGTTCACGGGTGAACCAAGTATTTGCAATCAGTAATGAGCAGATCTAAACTTATTTTGTAACATTATTGGCAATTTCCAAAATATTGATCAAGCAGACCTAACTTTTATTCAGGTTGGATCCTAATATAAAACAGGAGTCATTGTGCTTGAATCTGTGTAATACTTTGTCTCTATCTAACAGAAGCTCCAGTGTAGAAGTTGGCATAAGTAGCCGTGAAAAAATGCAATCTGTACATAAGATGTTTAAATGCCACCCTGACGAGGTGATGTCCATCAGAACCATTAACAGGGAATATTTCCTCATTGGCCATGACAGGTAAGTAGTAAGAAAGCACAGTGTTCCCCGTGTGCACAATACAAAATGGACAGACAAATAAAACATCTCAAACCAATAAACATACGTTGACCAGAAATCCATGGCCACCCCCTGCAACACCAACCGGGTGGTCTCCATTATTTGTTAAAACCTCTCAAAAAGTAACAGTATTCATTCCCTAGGGCTGCCATAACAAAGTACCACTAACTGCATGTTTGAGAGCCACAGATACGTTTTGTCTTACTGTTCTGGAGGCTAGGCGTTCAAAATCAGGGTGTCACAGGGCCATGTTCCTTCTGAAGGCACTAGGGAAGGTCTGTTCTAGGTCTTTCTCCCAGTTTCTGGTAGTTCCTTGGCTTGTGGCAGCAGAACTACAATGTTCACACAACATTCTCCCTGGGAGCCTGTCTCTGCATCCAAAGTTTTTATAAGGATGCTTGTCATAATGGATTAGGAGGCCAGTACGACCTCATCTTAACCAATTACATCTACAACAACCCAACCCAATTTCCACATCAGGTCACATTCTGAGGTGCTGGGGATTGACACTTCAACAGATGAATTTTGGGGGGGGGGACACAATTCAACCCACAACCCCATCACCATCATGCCAGATACCTTTCATGGAAAAGAACCCAAAACACAAGCATCTCTACAAGCTATATATGTTAGGGAGGGGCAATGCTCATCCCTGAAGAAGTCTTTGGTTTTTAAGAACGGCTCCTGGTGCCAGCAAAAGTGCCTAATAGATCGTTCATAGACTACTGTCTGCTTGACTCCAGAGAGGCCAAGGCCAACGGAGCGAACTAGGCAGAGGAGGCACAGAACGCTAAGGCCAAAGTTTGAAGAACCTTGATCTGCCACAGATTAAGCCCACGGCAAAAAGCTTTCTTTTTCACATTGTCATGAAAGGCAGTAGAAAAGATGTGATTTATATAAATTCATTCGAACACAGGCTTCATAAACACATGCCTTCCCCAAAGGGAGGCACACCTGGATGGCTATACAAAAATGCTGCTGACAAGTTAAGGGGCTGGCTTAAGAACACAAAAGAAATCAGTGTCAAAGCCAAAAGGTCCAAACCTATGATTACTACTGTTATTTTCGACTATTCTTCCCATTTCTCTGAGCTTTCCTCACAGAGGCGGCACGAAGATTAATTCTAGTGTGCAAGTTGTGGAGGTGGTGGGGAGCCAGTGGGTCATTGAAGCTACTTTGGGAAAAATCTTTATTACCCTGGTATCTGCTCGCACTGCCTGTTCCAACCTTAATAAAAGAATCGTTTTCTGGTTCAAAAGGAGCACAGGTGCTATTGTTGCCACCCGCCCGCTGAAAAGTTTATTCCTATCGACAGGGAGAAGATTAAAGACTGGGTCTCCTTCATGACATCATTTTGCTGGGATGTCAAAGCAACACACCGGAATACAGAGGTGACTTTACATCACTAATAAAATAACAGGGCACCTGAACACAGCCTCTTTCACAAGGAAACAATGGTAGCTTTTGCTTTTCCTCCTTAGCAACTGGCACAGGGGATAAATAAGTGAGAAAATGTACATCCTTGTTATTTTTGTGATGAACAATAGGAAAAAATACTTCCGTGTTTTGCAAGAGACCTAAAATACAGACCCTTCAAATGTTCATTACGGGGTCAGAGGGATGCAATATAAGTGGGGCATTTTTTTTAAGAGTAGCTAAAACTACAGTAGTTCCCATCATTGTTATTCAAGATGCATAACAGCTACCTTTTCAATGACTCAGTCTAGGCTGGTTTCTATGAAAATGCTTTTCAGATCTCTTGCATTTTCACTGTAATATCTCTTTAATGTAAGGGCTAGTAGCTTTAGTTTTTAACTTACTTCCCAAGAACCTTCACTGATTTCCACAAGTCCTTTCTTAGGGCAGACCTTTATAAGTGAAACTCAGTCTCTAGGTATCATTTTGACATGTTTTCTAAGTTGTTCTATGCTTCTAGCAAGAGCAGAGGCCATAGAGGAAGGAAAGTGAGGTGTGTCTATGAGTAGACCCAAATGATCAGAAAGTAGTGGTACAGGGTCAAAAAGACAGGTTGCGGGACATTCAGGACATCTGAAGCCCAGGCTGAGAGTCCTCAAGGGCTTGGAAACAGGACAGAGGTATGATCACCTCACATCTTAACAAGAGAAGGCTGACTGGGGGGTATAAATGTTAGCGGAAAAGACTGAAGCCAGGAAGCCCAGCGACAAGGTTCTTGCTTCATTCCAGGCAAAACATGGATCATGCCCTGATTGCAATATTTCTTTTCCATAAGCAAGAGAAACTCTCACTGGGTGGTAAAAGGCCTTCTTCAGACCCCAATCCTCTCCTTCGTCCTTCCTGCGCATCGGAGGCTGTCAACCCCACCACACCAAGAAATAGTCTTCCAGACATGGTAATCAGACTTCCTTCTTTCTCTCTCGACACCTTGCCTGGGAGTCCACTGACGCTTCCAAAGTATTACCCATGTATCTGACACCTTCCTCTAAGCCTAACCCACCATCATGATCTCAGCCCTATTATTTATCCTGTATTTAGTCTGTTTCTTATATCACAAATGAGCCTTCCTGCTTGCACTGCCTACCTTGAAATGTATTCATTGATTTTGGGTGCTCCTTGCCATGCATCCGGTGATGTTGGGTGGAGAACCCTCCAGCTAAACCAAAGCCTGGCGGGCAACTTTTTCCTTCCTTTCATGCAAAGGGTGCAGATAACCTCTGTAAAAAGATTCCCAACACACCACTTGGTTTCCTACCATAACATTTATATGTCTGGGGTAAAATCAAGGTTCTTATTAATCTCTTCCATTTACCCAGATTGATCTTGCTTCTTCTTACGTGTGTGTGTTGCATTTGTGTGTGTGTGTGTGTATGTGTGTGCGTGTGTGTGTGTGTGTGTGTGTGTGTGTGACATTTCACCTTCATTTCTGATGAAATCCATTTGAGGAAAAAAAAATACATCTGGCCCTTGAAAGTGATTTGTGATTATATTCTCAACTCTCTTGGATTCACAACCTTCCCAACTTTGGGTAAATGAGCTGAGTGGTTGGGTGGTTGTTGTTGTTTTTTTTTTATCTTCTGCCATGGATACCATTTTGTCCCTTAGAGATGTAACTCTGGACTCCCCCTCTCCCTGGGTATCAAGCACATCTTAATATGGCATAACCTTTGTTTTATCTAGTTGGGAGCTCTCCAACTATTTTAAAAGCTTTCTGTAGCATATCAAATTCACCAGGCCAAAGACCTCATTTGGTATTTGTAGGAAATGGGTTGAGAAAGATAACTCTTTTCAGCGAATACCCCCTTGCTTTTTCACTCATGATACCCCTTCTCCCTAAAGATAACGTTACTGGTCATCCTGCCTTTTCACACTTTGTATTCCAATTCGGAGATTTTTCAGTCAGCTCCAGTTAAGAGTACGATTCACCTTGTTGGGTTTTGTTGTGGTGGTTATTGTTGTCATTGTCGTTATTGAAACTAAGTGGGAACCATTCATCACCCCCAACTCAGCACGGTCTGGCTTCATGACCTTGGCACTAGAAAAATGGACACCATTTAAAGCATTTTGTTTTCTAAAATCACTTTCCTTCAAGGACTTGCTAGAAAACTTTCAAGATCTTTTTCAAAACTCCTTGCTCAAAGGCATTGTTCTTAGAAGAATTAAGCTGTACTTGTAACAGTTTTCCTGCCAGGCAAAACAATTGCTTTAGTAGAGGATCTTGTATCTACTGGGAAGGGAAGGTGGTAATTGGTTAAACCTACATTACCTTGTAGACTATAATTCATACTATCACATGATCAACACTAGCAAATTGCATTGCTATGGAAACAATAGAAACGTGAGCAGAACACAAAAGAGGAATATTGAGCAGGAAGAGGAAAGGTGCGGTGCCTTGACCATGGGCTAATTATCTTCTCAGATGGTACTGGGTGAAAACTAGTAGACGGGAGTGGGGGCTCAGTGGCAGAGCTTAGTGCCTTAGAATATACCCTCCCCGAACCCCTGCTCCTGAGAGAACTGCTTGTTCTGAGTTACAGGTCCCAATGGCAGAGAACAGCCTAAAAGATGGGCTTATATTTTTACCTCATCAAGGTGACCCAGACTCAAGAAGCAAGTTCAAGTTGTGTGGACTTTTGCGTGTAACCTTGGAAAATCCTCCGATCTTCTCAAACTAATTAATCTATTATGGCATGTCCCTTGCAAAGAGAGAGAAAGAGAGAGAATAGAATTAATTCTGTCTTCATCTCTTTATTCAGCATTTAATGGAAAAAAATTCTCCAGAACTCAAACAAGCTCATCTGCCACATGATTTCTTGTCAGAGACTACTGAAGATCCAGAAGAAGAGAGCCATTATATTAGTCCTCGAAGTATTCTTTTAGAGGTAACCCCTTCCATCCCTTAATCCTTCATTCGTTGTACAAATACTCACTTGGTCCCTACTCTGTGCTGTTCCTGAGGCCCTAGGCTGGGCTCGATGGAACACAGTGACGAATCAGGCACTGGTGATGTGCTCACGGTGCTGACACTTGAAAATGAGGCCGCCGCCATGATACAAGACAGAAAGAACTCTGTGCTGAAGAGAGAAGCTTATAAAATGCCTGGCGTGCACGAGGGAAGGGAGGCAGGGGAGGTGACTACCAGACAGAAGGAAAAGGCCATTAAAAAACACCCCCCCACCACCACCAAATTAAGTACAAAACCATGCAGTAGAAGTTCAGAGAAGGACGAGATTGGCAATAGCTGAGGTGGTCGGAGGGCGCTGTGGGACCTCGGAAGGCCTGAACACAGCTTCACCAGGCCAGAGAGGAAAGGGGTGCTCCCGGTGACACCAGTGGCATGAAAGCTTGCTCTGGAGGAGCACCATTTGTAGGCGAGCAGCAGGAAAACTGGCTTGCCTGGAAGGAGTTTTTCCAAATATGGGTTAATGATTCATCTGTCAGGCAGGCAATTAAAAGTCCCGAGAGTTTTTGAGCAACCGCTCCCCCAAATGCCTTAGTTGTGAGGGGCTAGCTGAGAGCCTCCCGGGGGCAGTCTTTTCTAGGACTTCTGCAGCCCCTTGAAGCGAGTTGGCCAGCCTGTGAGCAGCGGCCTGAGGCCAGTTTTGACCCAGCCTGGTGACCTGCCTCTACAGTAGACCCGTTGGGAAAAAAGGGTTCATATCACTAAGTGCCTAGTGATGAAACAGAAAAATAAACAGCAAGTTAGTCCAATAAAACACCGTATCCAGAATCACAGGGACTCCAGGAGGAGAAAACAGACTTTGAGTCAGCCAGAAGCTTTACCAGTTCAGCCTCCTAGAATGAGCACCACTTTTCAATCCGATGGTGGTTGTACTGACTCTTTCTGGGCCCAGAGCCATCACGTAAGGGATAGAAAGGTACCTGGTTATTGATAGGCTTGCATCCTTACGTCTATTCCTCTTATCTGTAGTTGGATACTTCTATTGCTTCCAATGATCCTGGTGAATTGGCTGACCCTGGTAGTCCAGAACAGCTTTCGGAGAGAACTGACTGTCATTACATGCCAATGAGATCCTGGTATGTAAAACCGCCATGTTCTTAACATTGAGTTTAGCTAATGTACTTTTACAGAACAACTGTTGTTGGTATATTAATTCAAAAACATTACCACAGACCAAGATCGACACATTATTCCACAATCTCAAAACAGGAAGTGGGAATGGTTTCTCTGCCCACCGAAAACCATGTAGTGACCTCCTCAGGTCATTTTCTGTCTCCTGGGGAACTTATTTTCTACTCAGAATTGATGTCTCATCCTCATTTCTGTCCTTCAAGCCCAATGGGAAGGGTTATTTTGACTCCATAGCCATTTTCAGAAGGAATGTTTGTTGGATTTGATTCTAGCTGTGGCTGTGATTCTGAGGGCTGGGCGTACTTGGAGACCTTGTTAGTTTTCATGTGGCTCCTAGCTACTGAAATCTGATTCACCCACCAAAGGAAGTTATAAATAAACATGCTGGAGAAGGGTATTGTATTAACTTCTCATATTCTAGTTTTTTCAGAGAGACGTCCCAAAAGTCTGCCGATAGCAAAGAGGGATCGCAGGCTCTTCCAGAGATCCAGAACGGGGAGCTTCACTTGCAAGAACAAGTCTCCCAAAGTGACTCCTGTCTTCCACCTGCCAATACGGAAGCACAGACCATGAATAATGAAAAGGGGTTGGCCTCGCTTACTATTGTGCAATTATCTATACTAATCAAGTAACGTTCTAATTTCTAAAGCTTTATGGGCCCTGGGAGCAATGCAGCCTTCCCTTTTAACTCAGAATTCAAGTTTTTAAATGGTTCCTAAAAATCTCCAAGTCAGTCAACAATCTGACTAGCTTCCCCTTCTTACTGATGTGGTGGCCAAGGACACTGAGTAACAGAGCTGGAAGCAAAGCAGTCCCCTGGGCTGTGAGTAGCATTTTCAAATATTTCTAAAAATTATCCCTTGGCGAGTCTTTCAGGCCCTGGAACTCTGGATCATGCTGACGTAGGTAGCATGTGATCCAACGTCTATGGTTAAAATTATGGGCCTGTGAGTTGCATGAGGTTTGGTTATAACAGAAGAGGGGGACATTTAGGTTTTACGTGATGTCAAGAGCATTTGATGAAATTGTTCTCAGGTTTTAGTCTTTCCAGTATCCTCGTCTATGGAATCACTTCCAGTGGAGAAATAAGCAGACTGGTGTGATATATAATCAATTAAGTCCACCTTTTATTCTTTTCCCATTGTCTGCCAACCATTAGCACATCCCAAGAGGAGTGCAGGAGGGCATTAATGAGTAATTAAATTCATATTCTCCAAATGTCTTGGACAGTTTTTAACTGGGAAATACCGTCTTAGATGTAGGAGGTAAAGTCTACTCAGAAAGTACAGTTCAGAGCCAGAGACAGCTGCCTGATGTGACTTTTATAAACATCTTATCTCATAGTAACATCCCTGATGAAAGCCAAGTGGAGAGCCTGAATGTGTTCCTTTCTTCTTCTGACATCATAAACTATCTTAGTCTCATAGAAGCCACAGGACGGATATGGTAGGTAGGGGATTTGAGGGTTCTTGACTATAAATGGGGTTGGGAGATAAGGATACAACAACAAAACCGATCAGACAGCTTGGACTGTTGAGTTATTATCACAAAAGATCTTCTGTGGAGGCAAAAATAAAGGTATTGCTATGTAAGAGGATCAGCTGGGAAGTGGGTTGGGTAGAGGAGTACCCAAAAGTCCAGGTTTCTTATTTTTGGAAGGTAAGGAAAAGCAGGAAGGAATAGGTATGGTCCGAGGAAATCATTCCCAGTCAATGAGCAATGACTGTTTGATAAATGAATGAAGTAATGAAGTTAATGAAGTCAACAAGAACCTAAGGTCTAAAAGAAAAGGTCACAGCAAGGTCTAAGACATCCAGACACCTGTTGGTCTGGGACAGACACAAAAGAGAGAATTTTCATAAAATCAGCACTGTTTAATTTGATTCTATATTCTTTTAAAAACTTTGTAATTTATTTTGACGGAAGATTACATCTTCATAAGGGAAGAAAGCCCTTTAATGTAAAAAGCTTATTCATTCTATAAAAGGGCAGTAAACAACTCTTCCACTTTTCCAAATTTCCCACAGTCTGAGGGGCTCCATAAACCCTTGACTGAAACTCTAGACTTCTCGGTGCCTGAGCTTGCTCATTCATCAATTCATTTATTGTTCATTAGATATTCATTGTGTAATCATCATGTGCTCACTTTCAATAAATACTTCTTAAGCACTTTCTGTTTACTTGGAGTTAGGTGGGTATAAATATTTTTTTAAAGGTAGCATTCTACTTCTGGGGTCTCATAGCCTGGTGAAAAAAAAAAAACAGCCACATAAACAAGTAAATAAAAAATGCACTTCATTTAAATATACAATAAATGGGTGCTCACCTATGCAATAGAAGTCCAGGGTGGGGGCGGGGAGGATTAATTAAAGGAAATGAAATGTGGGAAAGCCATTAGAGGTGGTGTGATTAGAGTTGGCTTTGGAGGGTCAGGTCCAACAGTGGTGACAGACAAAAGAATATCCAAACAGAAAATCGAGTTTGTCTACTTCAGATGGGGTGCAACATAGCTGAAGAAGCTGGTGATGGTAATGACAGAACCCAGTCTGTGTCCTGTGAGCACAGTCTCACACTGGTGTCGAACACTGTGTTCCTTTGCAGTGTGGCTCAGTGGCAAGGCCCCCCGCGCCTGGGATGTTTATTTTTTCATGGAGATCACATTTTGGCCGTGAATGACCTGAAGCCCCAGGGCCTGGAGGAGGTGTCCTTGTTTCTCAGCCGGTCTGTCCAGAAGAAGGTGAGTCCTGCTGACTGACTCTGGCCAAGAATAACATCAAGGTCTTGGGTGGAGCCTGAACGGTTCATATAAATACATGCAAATACCTGTGGCTTTAGAACCATTTCCAAATTTTCTCACATAAGGTGGTATTTGGAGAGGGATCCAGATTAGGAGACTGAACGCTGGGATCCAGGACCTCAGACGCTGCATGAAGTGATGGAAGGAGTTTGCAATGGAATCACATTGGCTCAGGGTTTGTGTTTCATCACCTTAAGCCAATTTGTGCCTCTTCTTCCTCTTCTGCAAAATTGGGAGTAAGGATGATACAAGCTGTTGGAATTTTAAATGTGATCGTATGTGTAACATGTTGCTTACACATGTGATTGGCACCTAGTAAGTGTTCATAGAGTTACCTCTGCTTTTATTTATTTGATTGGCTGGGGAACATTGTCCAGGTTCACCTTTACACACTTCAGTCCCCTCATCTCAGAAATCGACCTAGCTGTGCCTTCCTCACAGAGTTACTGTAAGAAGTAAACAAAACATGTGAGTGTGTACAAACTATGTATGTTTTTAAAGGGCTAGCATGGTTCTACCTGTGAGCAGTCTCCGTGTGGTAAATTCCTTCCCTAGCCTATGTTTATTTCTTACATGACCTTGGGAAAATCATGTTCTTCTCTTGGCTTCAGTTTTTTCTCTCTACAGGAATATAGTCAGTTTTCAAACTGTGCTTCTTGGGCCCCTAAGAGACAGGAACTTGAGGAAAGGATAAAGAACAGGACTATATGTAAGACTTCAATGAGAGCAATCTACATTTATCATTTATCTTTTTTTGATGTTGGCTCTGTTAGCCCTCCTTGAAGAAACATTTTCCTTGTCTTAAAATTCCTAAAAACTGGGGTACCTGGGTGGCTCAGTCATTTGGGCATCCAACACTTGATTTTGGCTCAGGTCATGATCCCAGGGTTGTGGGATCGAGTCCCATGTTGAGCTCTGTGCTGGGCATGGAGACTGCTTGGGATTCTATTTCTGTCTCCCTCTGCTCCTCTCCCCAACTTGCACTCTCTTTCTCTCTCTCTGGCTTTAAAAAAAAATCCTACTAATAAATAATATTAAATTTTTAAAAATTCCTGAAAACTGCTGTGCTAGGTGATCTCTCAAATTTCTTCTAGCTCTGAGAGTTTCTCATTATGTAGGTCTTATCTCTTCTGCATGACACAATGACCTCATGCTATTCCTATTACCTCAATGGGAGAAGCAGCCAAGGATGAATGAATTGTCAAAGATACATAAGTAGTTAGTAGTGGAGCAATGACTCATTCCTCATTCATTCACTAACTCACCATTTATGAATATCGCCTATATGCTGGTACTGAGCTAAGTCCTAGAGCTATATAAATAGCCTCAGCCTAAGCTTAAGGAGCTCACATAGTAAGGATCAAATAGGCATGTTGTGTGCTAGTTACAATATGATGTGTGCCCTAAGATGTGAACAGAGGGCCAATGAAGCAGAAAGAAAGGAGTAAATCTATCTGAGGAAGGTTAGGAAGGTGTCTCAGAGAAGGTAATGTCTGGCTGGGGTTTCAAAGACCAGGTAGGAGGGGCGCCTGGGTGGCTTAGTCGGTTAAGCGTCCGACTTTCACTTAGGTCATGATCTCGCGGTTCGTGGGTTCGAGCCCCGCGTCGGGCTCTGTGCTGACTGCCAGCTCAGAGCCTGGAGCCTGTTTCAGTCTGTGACTCCCTCTCTCTCTGACCCTCCCATGCTCACGCTGTCTCTCTCTCTCTCTCTTCTATAAATAAATAAAAACATTAAAAAAAAATTAAAAAAAAAAAAAAAAAAAGACCAGGTAGGAGTTTGGCAGAAAAGACGTAGATTTCAGGGGCTCAGGCCAACAATCAGGTAATCATAATATATTTCCACTGCCAAAAACCCAGCTGGGGCCAAGTGCCAGACAGAATCTTCTGAATCCTTCCAAAAGTTACCACCAAACAATACCTTGACCCAAAGATCCAGGCATCAGCTCCAAAGCCTGGGTTTTTGCCTGGATCCAGGAATTCCATCTGGGCACCATTGACTATAGTTTAAGACTGCCTTTCTAGATGGTGGAATTGCCTGCGTGGGAGGAGACAATAGCATTTCTCCTAGACTGAGTCTGCCTGCCTCTTTCTACTGGAGAACAATTAGATGCTATGGAGAAATATGAGGTGTTCACCAAAATGGTTACCTGGAAGACCAAAAACTTCTACTTTCCCACCCCACCATTCCTGACGATTGTTTATATTAAAATGAATATCCAAAGAATGTTGGGAGAGGGGAGATGTAGAACCAAACCTAGGGGCAGCAAGGGTCCCAATTGTTCTAGAGCATTTGGACCAATCAGATCTACTTTCCCTCCTGTTGAGCTACAGTTGAGAAACAAGGAGGTTGGCTTGGGGACAGGGTAGGGACAGTGTGAGAATTTGAAAGGAGAGGAGAGGGATGTGTGTAAAAAACAAAGAAGAAGAAGAAAGAGATGCTAGATTACAGGACAAACACATCAAACATCAAACTTCAATTTCCCCCTGATCTTGTCAGGGGCTGATTTTGCCAGGTTTCATCTGGATTCTCTAGTTTCGAGAGGCGTTTACTTCCGGGTACAACTGGGCGCATCAGGAATCGTAGGTGTTCTCTGGAATCTACCCTAAAGGCTCAGCCCAGTGGCTTCCAGAGAATAAAAATCCACCTTCCACCTAAATATATAAGTCATCCTGGCTTCATCTGCCCAAGATGTTATGGTTCATCATAGGATTTTCTTCAAAACCAGTGTCAAAGTGTATTAATGAGGACAGACCAACAACAAACAATTCTAAGGATAATCTTTACTCACTTCATTTCCTTCTTACTTGTGTTTTAGAAAATAAAACTCACCATCGGCCGGATCCCAAATTCAGAGAAATTCCATGCTGTAGCCTGTACGTGCCCCTTAAAATATGAAGGTGTTGTACCTTTTCAACTGGGTAAGTCTGGACTAGAGAAGAAATTGAAGAGGAGTCCAGCCATTAAAAAGGGCCAGGACAAAGGAACTAGAGAGTAACACGCCAGGACCCCCTGCTTAGAAGCAAGGATGGGCCCTGGACTGAGTTGGGCCTATGCCTCTTACCGCCGTGTGAGATAACGCTAATCAGCACACCTCTCTGATTTTCTGCATCTACATCTTAACGGCGGGGAAAACTCTCATCTCTGGCTATTGCATCAGGGATGTTGAGAGGGTCGTGGGGGGTAGTGACTATGGAACACAGAGAAAATGTAAGGCCTGATTAGCTCAGACTTTGTCCCATGTACCACAGAGACTGGGTAAGTCCCTCATCTGAAATGTACTGTGCGTTCTCTGAGGTCATGGTCCACACAATCCCTTGTTGGGTAGGGAACACACAGTTAGGGATGTTCATTCCAGGAAGGCAAGATTCCCAAGAGATGTGGTACCATATTGGCCTTCCCAAACACCATCTCCTATTCATCACCCCCACGGTCCAAAATGCTGAGGCAGAGTGGCCTCTTGGCTTCAAGAATCATCTTGTTTTCTTAAAGACCCAGTAACTATTCTAGAAGTTGAAGCAGTTTTAGGTCATATACAGCAAAGATGTGTTTTCTCTACAAGTAATCAGGCAACAACTTAACACTTCCACGTTTGAAAGGTCTTAACTAATTGACACATTAATTAATTGATCCTGCAAGGCCAAAAACATCACTTCTTTTTTCATAAATAGGAAAACAAAGGCAGAGAAAACAAAGTATTCATCAAATCTGGGAATGTTAGGGCAAGAGGAGGCATCAGAAAATACATCTTACTATGCTGTCATTTTGTGCAGGAAGATACCAAGGCGCCAAATGCATTATACAAACAAAACAGAAACAGATTTGTACATACAGAGAACGAACTGGTGGTTGCCAGAGTGGAGGCGATGGGAGGGGGCAGGCAAAGCAGGTGAGGGAGATTAAGAGGTACAGACTTCCAGTTATAAAATAAGTCTTGGGAATGAAAAGTAAAGCATAGGGGAATATAGTCAATAATATTGCAATAACAATGCATGGGGTCAGATGGTGACTACACTTATGTGGTAAGCATAGCATAATGTATGGAAACTGTTGAATCGCTATGTTGTACACCTGAAACTAATATAACATGCTATGTTAACAAAATAATAATAGTCATAATATACTTCCTTTGTAGTTCCCAGTTTCATAGCTTTTTAGTGGCAGACCAAGAATCTAAAACCAGCTCTGAGAAACAGATGTCCTGATCCTCTCTGTATATTTGGATTCAGGTTTGAAAAGACCTTCTGCAGATAGAAGAGACATTCAAATACAGTTCATTTTCTGTTATCCAGATTGTACAGAACGTATAAAGATTTTTACTTACTGTTTCTTTTCTTTTTAATTAAAAAAAATTTTTTTTTAGAGAGAGACAGACAGAGAGCATGCAGGGGAGGGGCAGAGAGAGAGGGTGATACAGAATCCAAAGCGGGTTCTGGGCTCTGAGCTGTCAGCACAGAGCCTGACGCGGGGCTCAAACTCACGAGCTGTGAGATCATGACCTGTACCAAAGTCAGACACTTAACTGACTGAGCCACCCAAGTACCCCTTATTGTTTTTGTAAGCCGGGTTGAAGTTAAGACTTTGATTTTTTTCTAGTTTTATTAAAATATAATTGACATATAGCACTGTATCCGTTTAAGGTGTGCAGCATAATGTACAGCTTTATACAAATTCCTGTTTCTACTGCCCAGAAATTTGTCCTACAGAATTACACAAGTGTACAAAGATTATTTTTTAATGTTCACTGTGGCATTGTTTGTAATAATATAAACATTCTTCAGGGATTGCTTAATCATGATGACTTCATGTAATTCAAAAATCTGCAGATGTTAACCGTTCTGTATGTGCAGTCACGAAAAGATGTTCACAATATAGTAAGAATGAAAGAAGCAAGTTGCATAACAGTAGGTATAACGTTGTCCTATTTTTGCAAAAATAAAGGATTGGTATTAATGTATATGTATGTGTGTGTACACAATACCCCCGGCCCTGATGAAAAATACCTGCGTCGAAGGCTTGTTATGAGGTTTAAATGGGTGATATACACACAGCACCTAGCGCACTGCCTGTTACGTCATGAGCACTCAATCAGTGTTAGGTCTGCTGCAGCTTTGATAATGATTTTTTGTTCAGTCCCAGATGAACGTATATCTAGTTCTTAATAAGAACCATCTCTGAGAAGGAGGACCAAGATTGACCATGTAGGGGAGGCATTTCTGTAATGTTTGAATTTTTCTTTGTTTGGCAGTAAGCATGTCACTTTTATTTAGAAAAAAAAATGGAAGTGTGGAAAATAAATAAATTTAATATATTTATATAAATTTATGCTTATTAGGTAAATATGTACATACATAAGCATATATTTGTTATTTAAATATATTTTATATATTTATTATATATTTATATAAATTTATATTTTATTATAATATAATATATTGTTATATATAAAAATTTATATTTGTTTATAATTTATATAGAAATATAAATTATATAGAAATCTATATAATTCATCTATAAATATAAATATATATAGAAATATATAACTGACTTAACCTCTATATTTATATAGAAATATAAATTATAAATACTGTACTTTAAATAGATATATGATAAATATGTATTTAATAATATATAATACATATATAATGGTACATTTTAAATAAATGTTTATATACACTATATATAAATTATATATAAGCTATATAAAATATATTTTATGATTATTAAAATATATATTTAAATATAAAAAATATAATTATATGTATGTATAAATATATATAAATTTTAAATCTTTATAAGTAAAAAACCAAGCCACCTCATTAAAGGAAATACAAAAATCATCATCAATGTAAAACTGTCAGGAAACCAACAACGTGGGTCGATACACTGCTTTGAAGCCCAAAGTTTCTACCATTTTTTGGTTGGGAAGTCTACACCAAGAGATACCTGGGTAGCTCTGTTGGTTAAACATCCAATTCTTGGTTTCGGCTCAGATCCTGATCTCAAGGTCGTGAGATCGAGTCCAGGGTTGGGTTCTGAGTGGACCCCACTTGCAACTTTCTCTCTCCCTCTCTCTCTCTGCCCCTCCACCAGTCTCTCTCTCTCAGAGAAAAAAATCGACACTGGAAGGCTAATAAAAGCTACAACTAGATAGATGACAGACTGGCCACCAGGCCCTAAGCCCCTGATGGGATGAGCTGCATCCTTACCCAGCTCACAGAGCTCCTTGTGCCCAGCCCCTTCCTGGACTCATGAAGGGGGTGAGCCAGCTCCTGGCCCTCTCTCCCTTCTTCCTGTTCTGCCTGCAACTGAATCAGCCCGAGGAGGGCGGGGGGGGGGGGGGGGGGGGGGGGGGGGGGGGGGGGGGGGGGGGGAGAGGGTGATGGGGCTTGTTAGGAGGCTTCTGCCTTGGGGCCCCTCCCACAGAGAGGGCTTTCCTCCCAAAAGGAAGCCTCAGGGCAGATTCCACGGTTTCCCACCCACAGCCCAATTGATTCTGATTCAGTAGTTCCAGGGTGTGGCCCTGGAATCTGCATTCTAATGGGACTCCCAGGTGATTCCACTATGTGGACAAGGGACACTTAAGGAGCATCACCCTCAGGGGTGTCAGGGGGAGGCACGTGTGTCTCCTGAGAGGGTGCAGAACATGCAACGTGCACATGGCATTTTTGAGGAGAGAGGGCCCATGGTTTTCAGTAGTTCTGGAAGAAGCTAACGATGCCACCTTTTTCCTCCTCTTCCAGAAAGAACCCTATTCCAGAGTGAGACCGCCGGTGTTTACTCTTTGCTCTCTGCCCCTGGGGAGTATCCTAACCAGGGCCTTCAAGGAGCAATGCCATCCTGACTGTGCTGCCAGAGGCCATCAGGTGCAGAGAACATTAGGGTGGAGACAGAACCTGGTGCTTGGGCTTCAGGTGAAGTCATTTCCGCAGGCCTCATGGTTCAGTTTCATTCCTGTGTGCCCCCCCTTCCCAGAGCCAGGGGCCAGCCACTCCTCCCCCGTCCCCTGTCCTCGCCCAACGGTCAATGGGCCTTTCTTCCTCCTAATGTTAGTAGTGGCCCCAAGGGAAAAGACTGACTGACCTGGCCCAGAAGTCTGGTAAGCAAGGCATCGGTCTCTAGGCCAGGACTAAAAAGGCTTGTGCCTCCAGGTACCTGGGTTGCTTAGTTGGTTAAGAGTCGGGCTCTTGACTTCAGCACAGGTCATGGTCTCAGGGTTCATGGGATCAAGCCCCATGTCAGGCTCCACACTAGTAGTGCAGAGCCTGCTTGGGATTCTCTCTTCCTCCATCTCTGCTCCTTTCCCGTTCATGCTCTTTTTGTCTCTCTCTCTCTCTCAATCTCTCTCTCTCTCAAACTAAATAAATAAACTTTAAAAAATAAAAAAGACTACCCTATGACCCAGCAATTGCACTATTAGATATTTATCCAAGGAATACAGGTGCTCTATTTTGAAGGGGCACATGCACCCCAATATTTATAGCAGCACTACCAACAAAAGCCAAAGTATGGAAAAAGCCCAATGTCCATCGACAGATGAATGGATAAAGAAGATGTGGTATATACATACAATGGAATATTACTCAGCAATCAAAAAGAATGAAATCTTGCCATTTGTAACTAAATGGATGGAACTAGAGGGTATTATGCTAAGTGAAATTAGTCAGAGAAAGACAAGGATCATATGACTCCATGCATATGTGGAATTTACGATACAAAACAGATGAACAGAAGAGAAAGGAAGCAAAAGTAATATAAAAACAGGAAGGGAGACAAAGCATAAGAGACTCTTTTTTTAAAAAATTTTTTTAATGTTTTATTTATTTCTAGGAGAGAGAGAGAGAGAGAGCGTGTGCAGGGGAGGGTCAGAGAGAGAGGGAGACACAGACTCTGAAACAGGCTCCAGGCTCTGAGCTGGCAGTCAGCACAGAGCCCGACACGGGGCTCGAACCCACGAACCGCGAGATCATGACCTAAGCGAAAGTCGGACGCTCAACCGACTAAGCTACCCAGGTGCCCCAAGAGACTCTTAAATACAGAGAAAAAACTAAGGGTTGCTAGAGGCATTGTGGATGGGGACATGGGCTAAATGGGGGAGGGGCATTAAGGAAGACACTTGTTGGGATGAGCATTGGGTGTTATACATAAGGGATGAATCACTCGAATCTACTCCTGAAATCATTATTGCACTGCATGTTAACTAACTTGGATGTAAATTAAAAATAATAAAAATAAATAAATAAAATTTATAAGAATATTTTTAAAAACCCAAACTTGTACCTTATATAAATAGAATCTCCCCAAAGCAAAGTGGGTGGGACAGACCCTCCCCCACACCACCCACCGCCAGCCACACCTACACCTACCCTCAGTACCTAATGCCATCTGTGACCTCTTTCTTTCCAGAGCTGCCTTTGATGTTCACTCCAATCCTGTTCCAGGTGGATCAGCCTGAGCAAAGGAGGGGCTGGGGCCGCAGAGTGGGTGACCCAGCTGTCCCTATGGGGTGGCTCTGCTCTGAGCCATATTAAAGCCAAGCTGTGGGCCTTTTCAATGTAATCTGTTTTCTCAACAGCTAACAGGTTTCTCTAAGTAATTGATATTAACTTGGGAGCTGTTGTGGACACACACACACACACACACACACACACACACACACACAAATACAAGATCTAAAACCCTTTCACAAGAGCTCAAGACATGGTTAAAGAAAGGAAAGATGACATACTGCAATTTCTTGTTTACCTGATGTCATTTGAGAAGGTACAATTCTATAAGTTTAATTTTAAAATTATGTTAATCGTCATCTTCCTAAAACTTGCTAATACATTCTTGCCTTTTTCAACTCTTCTTACTTGGGTCATGGCTGTGGGCATTCTTTCACCACACTCTGTATTTTCTAAGGACTACTGGAACATGGAAGATCCTTCTTCTACACCAAATGATCCCAGACTGCTT